GTCAGTGAGGGAAACAAAGATGTAAACAGAACGCAGCAAGAGAGACTCGCTTTAGCCAGGGTGGCGGGATGGGCCGCTCAGAGGAGGTGACATCTGAGCGGGGTCTGAAGGAGGAAAGGGAGCCCGCCATGGGAAGAGCAGGACGCATTTCAAAGGCCCGGAGGTGAGACCCCATTTGACAACCCACAGGTGGGAGCACAGTGATCAGGGGAGGGGGGCAAGAAGTGGGCTGGGAGACCACCAGGGCCAACCTCTTGTGCCCTGTGGCCACACTGGGCACGTGGATGTATTCTAAGTGCAGTTAGGCAGGGTGTGGCAGGGCTGATTCGTTTTAAACAGGTCACTGCAACAAATGTGGAGGGCTGGCAGGGAGGCCAAATGGAGCAGAGACCCATTCGGAGGCTCCCCTGTCCTCTGTACCATGAAGGGGTTATTAGCCCCTTCCAGATAAGGAGACTGAGTCTCAGAGGGGAGGAGGCAGACCCAAGCCCACGCACCTGTCAGAGATATGGCTGCCCGTGTCCATCTCCAAGGCTCACTGTCTTCTTCCCACTCCTGCATGTGACACTCATGCCGGCAGGGCTGGGAGCAGTGCGCCCAGGGCACTGGATGGGTGGCCACCCCAGGCCTCTCTCGTGGGGAGAAGAGGTCCCAGGAGCTGAGGCCCCCAGCACACCCCACGGTCACAAAGTAGACTTGGGGTCAGACTCTGCCTCTGCTACTGAGGAGCCACATCTGTCTGCTCCCCTCTGGCCTCAGTTTCCCCAGATGTCAACCAAGTGGATTGAGCTGGATACTCTTCCAGCTCCTCGTTCATCCGCCCATCACCCAGTGGGCACCCGGCATTGGGCTGGGAGTTTACAGTCCGGCCTGATAGACAGATTCATAAGTAAGTAATTAAAATAGGCACCTAAACCCCGCCGGGGGCTCCGGGCAGACCTCCCAGGAGAGGTGGTGTCTGAAAGGGGTGTAGGAGTTCGCCTGGTGCTGAAGGGAGGGCATTCCCGGCCACTGGGGTACAGGGACAAAGGCCAGGGCTGTGGTGGGCTGGGGGCAGGTTCCATACGCGGCTGGGTGTGGGTGGGGCACGTGCCAGCCCCGCAGGCCCTGGGGGCCCTAAAGACTGAGCTCACCGTGCCCGATGGGAGCCACCGTGCGTGGTTCTGAATAGCAGCTTCGTTGAGATAGAGTCCACACACCACACAATTCGCCTCTTGAAACTGTACAATTGGGGGGGGGTAGTATATTCTCAGTATATTCTCAGAACGGTGCAAGCGTCACCCAATCAATTTCAGACCACTTTCATCGCCCCCAGAAGAAGCCCTGCTACCCATTAGTCGCTCCCCAGCCTCCCGTCCCCGGCCCTCGGCAGCCACTGATCGACTTTCTGTCTCCTCAGATGTGCCTGTTGGGGACGTATTTCATAGAAATGGAATCACACGTCCGCGGCTGGCTTCTTTCGCTGCGCGCAGTCTGTCCAGGGTTCATCCGTGGTGTGGCGTGTGTCAGCACTCCCTTTTTATGGCCGAATAATATTCCAGTGTGCGCCACTGGGTTTAAAGTGACGTGGAAAGGTCTGCACTCTAGAAAGCTGGCTCTGGAGGGCGGGCGGGAGGAGGCCAGATGGCTCGAGAGGCTGGGGAGCGGCTGGGAAGAACTTTCTAGATGCCCGCAGTGGCGGGAGGCAGCAGAAAAGAGGCACTGCCGAGGAGGGAAGACCTGGTAATTGATTGGCTGTGGGGGGAGGGAGGATCCGGGTGGAGAGCGATGCCACCTCCCAGGACAGAGAGGAGAAGGTTTCACAGAGCTCGGGGCCCTGGGCACAGAAACCGTGCAACGCCCAGCGAGAGAGTCGGGGTGACCAGGCAGCGGGGCTAATGAGGGACAGCACATGGAAGGGGCGGCCTGGGGAGTGTGAGAGGGGCCAGGACACGGCGAGGGGAGAGGGCAGCCAGGAAGGTGGTCCAGATGGAGAGGCTGGCACAGCGTGGAGGGGAAAGAGCGCAGCCACCCGCCAGCCGGGCCCAGGGAATGCCCGGCAGATGGGGGAGGCAGGCTGAGCTGCGCGGGCTCTCTCCAGAGAGGGGGCCAACAGGGTCCTGATGTTGGGGCCAAAACCCTTTGGCATCTATTAGATGGTCCTGGACCCTCACAGGAGCCCTGTGTCCCCATTCTACAGAGGAGGAAACTGAGGCTCAGAGAACTTGACCGTTTGACCAGAGCCAGGGCTGCAGCAGCCCAGGAGCCCTGGGTGGTGAGGCTGCCCCTTCGTGCAGCCTGCAGGGAAAGGCCGGTGCCTAAGAGGAAGTGGGGAAGGAGGGAGGGCAGGAGGACTCAGGGTCCCCAGAGCCAGCAGAGCAAAGTGGATCGAGCCCTAAGCGGATGCCCGAAATTAGAGCTGCCAATCCCTGCCCAACACGCATGGGTTGTTGATGCAAAGCGAGTCACTTAGAGGCAGTATGGCCTGGTGGCTACAGAAGTGGCCTCTGCAGCCAGAGTGCCTGGGGGTGAGTCCCAGCTCTGCCGAGGTGAGCCCACAGCCTCGGAGCATGACCTCGCCCCTTTATGCTTTTACCCCCACACCTGAAACCGGGAGTGATGGCGCTACCTCTGGCACAGGGCTGGGTGAGGCTCACGTGAGTTCACGTGGGTGACATCCTCAGGGCTGTGCCAGCACTTAACCAGCGCCCAGTAAATGTTGGCCACTTACCTTTGTATACCCCGGGGGTCCTGCTTTTCTCAGCTTTATGGCCGAGGCTATTAACAACTCCCCAGAAGCACTTGTTGCTGTCCCCGCTGGTGTCACTGTGGCTCTGCTGAGACCCCACAGGGTCTGGTCAGGGCACCGTTGACTGGCATCGCTGCCATCTTTGATGGACCACCTTCCTAACGCTCCCTCCAAAAAGCAGGAAAGGTGGGACCTGGGGGTGCTGTTTCCTAGTGTCCCAGGGACAATTGTCCTTGGATTATTTCCTGAGCACCTATATCAGTCACATGCCCTAAGATCACAGCCACATCCCCGCTCTGACCCTGTGCCAGCTACCGTGTCCACCGCATGTAATCCTCACGGCCACTTTATATGGTGGATGCGCCCTCACCAGTGAGGGGACTGTAGCTCAGAGAAGTCAAACAGCTTGTCCAAGGTCGCTCAGCAAGCTGCTGATGAACCAGGTAACTGCTTAATACTGCCAGGGATTATTCTAAGCATTTTTACATAAATTAACCAAGGTAAAACTCACTACAACTCTAGGAGGTAGATACTATTCTCCCATTTTACAGATAAGGAAACCTTTCAAGTGACTTGCCCGAGGTCACCCTGCTCACACAGGTGGGTCTGGGATCTGCCAGGCACTCTGCACACTGACACTGTGTCCCCTCCTGCTTGTGTGATCCCCAGAGCCCAGCTCTTTCCACTTCAGTGGGTGGCTTCAGGAAGTATTTACAGAGCCCCTGCCGAGTGCCAGGTTCTGAGCTAGGCACAGGGCAAACAGCTGGGAGTCAGACATGGCTCTGATCCCAGGAGACTGAGAGCATGGCCAGGAGACCCCTAGATGAATAATTATGGCAGGGGAGTCAAGCACTCCAAACCCCAGTGATATTCCAAGCACCAAGAAAGGAAGGTTCTCTGAGGCCACAGTGGGGTGAGGGGTTGGGAGAGTGATTTGCTAAGACTTGGACTTGGAAGATAAGCCTTAAAGACTAGGGCTGGAAAAGTAAATTAGGGATATTTATGTTAGTTGTTTACATACAAGGAAACTGATGTTCAGAGAGGTTGAATCACTTGCCAAAGAACACACAGCACCCAGACATGAAACGTAATCCAGGCAAGGGCCCCTGGCCTGTGGACGGTTTACCTGCATTTCATCCCAAGGAGGATCTTGTTCATTGCAAAGCTCTTTCCCTTCCACCCACTCACTTACCCTTGCACCGTCCCTCCAAGGCATCACAGCAGAGCTGGGATTGTGAACCCCAGTATGCTGAGGCTGGGGAAGGGACATGACCTAGCCCTAGACCCCCACTCAGCCTCCTGAGTCCCAGCCCAGGGCCAGCAGGATGGGGAGGGTGGATTCAAATACATGTCCACACAGGATGGTTGCTCTTGCAGAACCTAACTCCATGCTTGGAGCTGCAGGGCCTGGACCCAGAGCAGAGATGAAGGCGACAGCCCCTGGGAGAACCCAGATTGCCGAATGCAGGCCCAAGTGCACACACTGCCCTCCTTAGGCTGGCCCTGGTTCTGCAGGTCCCCTTTAGTGTAATAAATTGGTCCAACACCAACTATAACAGCTACTATTTATTGGGCCCCTACACTGCAAGGCTTTGGGCAATGTCCCTTATATAATTATGCAAATACTCACAACAGCCCTGCAGAAATGAGCCTTAGAATAATAATTTTACAAATAAGGAAACTGAGTCTCAGAGTGGTCAAGCGACTTGTCTAGGGCCACACAGCTAGTAAAAGGTCTAACAGGTACTCAAACCCAGGTCTGGCATACTGCAGAGGTGGTGTTCTGTTCTGCTCTACCACGTCACCTCTCTACGGGCCCTGCACTGGCCCAGGACTTGTATTCTGCAAAGCGATTGCCTCACTTGTCTGGAACCCAGGAATCCAGTTACAAGAATCAGAGCCCAGCCAGACACCAGTGAGCAAGACTGGGCCCCACAGACCCTGCTCCAGACTTCTTCAAATGCCTCCTGACTAGGTCAGGACTGATCCCAGAGGCCATGACGATGCCAAGCTGGGAAGATGCCAAGTGAAGGAAGATTGCGACCAGCCCCCAGCTGAACCCACAGACAGCTTCAGGGACAAGAAACCAGGTAGCTCAACAGAGCTAGAACTGCCACTTTGGAGTCTGAAGACACCAAAAGCTTCAGGAACTGGAGTTTCCCAGCAATGACACCGTGTGGTCCCTCCCTGAGGCTGCATGGCCTCTCCATGCCTCAGGGCCTCTGTGTCCTCATGTGGTTTCCCTGGTGACTCTCCTTGTCTTCTCTTCCAGGTTGTCCCTCTGGAACCTTCAAGGCCAACCAAGGGGATGAGGCCTGCACCCACTGTCCCATCAACAGCCGGACCACTTCAGAAGGGGCCACCAACTGCGTGTGCCGCAACGGCTACTACAGAGCAGACCTGGACCCGCTGGACATGCCCTGCACAAGTACGTCCCAGGGCCCCCGATAGAGGCCCGAGCCTACCTGCAGAGAAGCTCAGAGGGAGGGCTGGGTGGCTGTCCCGTTATAGCCAGGCTTTCCTGAGTGAGGAACAGCCAATTACTGGGTTAAGAAAGGACCATCCTGGGGTGGCCGTGCTGCCACCAGGCAGACACCACTGAGCTGGCATCTGGCTCCAAATCCCCTTCTGCTGAGTCACATGGAGGAGCAAGTGAAGGTCTTGATCCACACAGGGACGGGATGTGAGGCTTGGCAGGAGAACCCACAGAGGTGGTGTCTGTAGCAGATGAGGCTGCCCAGTGCTCTAACCTACCAGCAGCTGCCTGAATCACAGGCCAAAGTTCTCCAGGAAAGGGGTAACTATGAGAGCAGTAATACAACCCCTGTATCAGACAGGAATGACATTCCAGCTGCAAATGACAGAGAACTGACCCCAGCAGCTCAAACCACACAGATTTATTCTCTCGCCAAAAAGGAGCACAAGGGAGGCCGTCCTGAGATAGTATGGTAAACCCACGATGGTCTCTGGGACCTGGCTCTTTCTGCCATCCAGAGAATGTTTTCTATTCTTAAGGCCACTTCATAGTCCAATGTGGCTGCTGAAGTTCCAGCCATCACACACATTTTAGGCAACAGACAGCTGTCTATCTCCTTGGAGGGCAGAGACAGTTCTATTCAACAACTTCTGATCTATATCAGTGGCCAGCACTTAATCACAGGAGGCTGGAAAATGTCTTTTAGCTGGACATATTGCTACCAGGAATAAATTTGGGCATTATAAAAAAAAGATGGAGAAAATAGAGATTGGGCAGGTGTAATTGCAAACACAGTTGGAACCCAGAGGGCAAGGTTTAAGCAGATGCATGATGGGGTAAGTTATATTCCAGAAACGTCTCTCCTGTGGGTAGAGAGAGAAAGGATTTGAGGACATCCTTTGGGAGACCTGGGCTGGAGCCGGGGCGGTGGGCACAGGCTGGTCTGGTGGGGACAGCCCCGCCGCGGGCCCCCACGGACTAACTAACCCCTCTCGCCCTCCCCAGCCATCCCGTCCGCACCCCAGGCTGTGATCTCCAGCGTGAACGAGACCTCCCTCATGCTCGAGTGGACCCCTCCGCGCGACTCGGGCGGCCGCGAGGACCTGGTCTACAACATCATCTGCAAGAGCTGCGGCTCGGGCCGGGGCGCCTGCACCCGCTGCGGGGACAACGTGCAGTACGCGCCGCGCCAGCTGGGCCTGACCGAGCCGCGCATCTACATCAGCGACCTGCTGGCGCACACGCAGTACACCTTCGAGATCCAGGCCGTGAACGGCGTCACCGACCAGAGCCCCTTCTCGCCGCAGTTCGCCTCGGTGAACATCACCACCAACCAGGCAGGTGAGCGCCTCGGGGTCCCGCCGGCCCTCCTGAGAGACTGCCTGTCATCTGCGGATGGCTTCTCCCCTTCACAGGCGCTGCGGCGCCGGGGTGGCGTCTGTAATGCTTGCTGCCACTGGTCGAGCGCATGTTATCGAAGGTAAGCGGTAAGTGGCTATGACAAAAGGACCCGACGTCTGGTGGCTTAAAGAACACGGAAACGCATTTCTCTCCCCTGCGAGGGGCCCGGAGGGGAGCAGTCCGGGGCGGCGGGGTGGCCCGGGTTCCCTCATGTCGCCCGGCCGCCCTCCCCGCTCTGCGTCCGCGTCCCGGCGCCCCGCTGAGTCGCCTCACGGCTGAGAGCAGGGAGGGTTAGGCAAGGTGGGCGGAAGTCCCTCCCACCACTTCCGCATGCGGTCGGGCCTCAAGGCCTGGGTCACGTGGCCTCGCCGAGGCGCGGGGAGCCGGGGCAGGTTGTGTCTCCCAGCCTGACTCGACCCCTGTCACAGTGGAAGGTGCGGACAGATTGGGTGGACGTCTGGCACTTTCCACAGCAAGTGCTTTCTGCGACCCCCAGCCCACCCCAGTCCGATTCCGGCAAAACTCTTCTCCTTAACTCTCTCTAACAGTCCTTCCTGTGGCCCCACGTCACCCTCCGCGCTCGGCCCTCCTTCCCTTCACAGAAAAAAAAATCAAAAAAGTTGCCATGCGCTGCATTCTCACCCCCGCCCACTCTTTCCTCAGTCCACCCCACTGGGGCTTCTGCCTCACCTCCCCACCAAGACTGCATCCTCAGGGTCACGTGAGCCCAGGTCCCGGAGGCGCTTCCCAGCCTCATCCCCCACCGGAGGCCACAGGAGGTTGTTATTGTCAAGGACATTATGGCACCTTTGGGCAGATCTTGGTTGGCACTGGGAGTGTGCCCTCAGTTACTCACTCGACAGCCTTTGCATGCGCCTGCAGTGGGCGTGGTCCGAGCAGGGCTCAAGGAGGAGCCCAGGGGGCCAGGCTGCAGTGGGGGAAGCTGGCGGGCTCCCCAGCTTGTCTTTCTGATGCAAAGTGGGGCCCACACAGTAGGCACACAGGGGATCCAGAGGTGGAGGTGCAAGGCAGGCCCAGGAAGGCTTCCTGGAGGAGGTGGGATTTAACTTGCCATTTGAAGGACCAGTAGAATGTTGAGGGGACAAAAGAAAGAAATGGGATTCTGGAAGGGGGGAAGGGCACACGCAAGGACATGCAAGGGGAGGGACAACCAGCTCCATCTGGTTGAGGGGTGCTCTCCACACAGGAGACATGCCCCTACATGTCTCCTACATGCCCCTGGCCTCCCTGGGAAGGTATCCATGTCCCCCTCGGTCACAGATGACACTCAGATAAGTTGAGTCACAAAGCCAGGAAGAGTGAGAGAGTCACAAAGCCAGGAAGAGTGAGACCTAGGAATTGACTAGATCTAACAGACTCCAGTGCTCTGGCAAATTCCAGGGTGTGTCCAAGGAACCTGGGCTCTGACCTCTGGTTGTGCGTGTGAGTCTGCATGTTCATGGGTGTGTTGACGTATGTGTTTGTAACGCATGTGACTGGCCACGTGGCTTCTTATTTATACACGCATTCCTGAGCATGTGTGTGTCTCTCAACCTGAGGGGCCTGGGGGATGGGGCTGGGTGGTGGTGTTCGTCTGAGCGTGAGTTTGCATTTCCGAATGCGGCTCTGCCTGTGTGTTTGTGTCTGAGAAGGAGTGCGGTTTTGTTTGCGCCTGTTTATGGCGTTGCCGTGGCTGAGAGGGCATGTTTGTGAGCGTATCTCTGCAGTCTCGAGGGGCCATGGATGCATTTAACCCTCTCTGATTGGGGTCTGGAGGGAGCTAACTCAAGGCAGGCGATCTAAGGGAGACCCCCAAAGCCAGCAGGTATTGGCAAAGACACGTAACAGATTATAAAGCCTCAGCCACAAGTCTCTCTGGCTGGACAAAGCTCTGAGCTGGGCAGGCCCAGGCTCCCAGTGTGGGTGGACGGGAGGGAACCCTTTGCAACTGGGAAAAGCCAGAAGAAAAGCTCCCGGAGCCCTTTCCCTAGCTCTAGGAGCCTCCTCTCATCCATCTGGGAGCCCTGAGGGTGGAACTGCTCACTCCAGAAGCTCAGCTTGTGAGCAGCAAGGGCTGGGGTCTGGGCTGCTGGGACAGGCCCCTCCTATCTGGAGCTACATGTCCCCAGAGAGTAGAGATGGGGCAGAGTATGGAAGTGAGGGGCTTCCAGGGAACAGGGTTACAGGGGAACCCTCAGGATTGAAAGGCAGAAAAGCAGTGAGAAACAGCACTGGATTAGGAGCCGGGACCCAGGTTTGAATCCCAGCTCTGTCATTCATTTGCTTATTGACCTTAGTGTATTAGTCAGCTGTTGCTGCAATAATGCCACATAACAAAACTACCCCCAAACTCAATAGTTTACAACAGTGAACACTTATTTTCTTACTCACTGGTCTGTGGGGCAGCTGGGGTTTGGCTGACCGTGGCCGAGTTCCCTTTGCCGGTAGGACTCCAGAATGGGGGCTGGGTTCAGCTGGTTTCATGTGTCTCCTTGGACCAGCAACCACCCCGGGCTTGTCTCTCTCAAGCGGGAGCCACACCACGCAAGCAGCTGCCCTTAGCTCATCAGCAGAGTGAAGGCGGGGCCCCAGCCCAGCATCCGTGGGCCGTGCGGGGTTACCTGGCCAAGGAGGTGGGTGCACAGTCCTGTCACAGGGGAAGAAAAACTGGAGTAATTAACCCAATCTGATACATGCACATGAAAATCATTTCCTCCCTCTGTGCCTCAGTTTCCCCACCAAATGTACATCAGAACTATATGGGAGCTGGGAGCTTTTTTAGAAATACAGGTTTCTTATCTGCACCCCTGACCTGCAGAATCAGAACCCCAGGAGCGGGACCTGGGATATGAATTTCTAACAAGTGGCTCAGGTGTTCCTTGCCATCAGATCAACTTGGGACACTCAGGTCTACGTGAGTCTAAGCCCCTTGACGCCCTCGAAGCCCTGAGGGTCTCTGGATGATAACAAGCCTTCCCTACTCTTTGCTCCAAGACCCTGGACAGACCCATTCTCTCCCGGCTGCTCAGAGCCCAGCTGGGGGCTGCGTGGCCATGCCACACCCTCACACTATTCCCCTTTGCCAGATGAGGAAACTGAGGCCCAGAGAGGTGCAGTCTTGTAGGCAAAGTCCCACTACTCAGTGGCCTCTACTAGGATTTAAACCCAGGAGCATGTGACTCTAGCCTACAGTGGAGAAGACACAGTACCTGCCCTTGAGGTTATACGTCCTGGGTGGAGAGATGAGACACAGATGCAGAGTCCACATGCAAACTGGCATGAATGAGGGCCCAAGGAGGTGCTGGGGGCAGATTGCAAGCAGGAGAGATCCTTTCTCCTGGGGAATGAGGAAAGGGTATGTCCTGGAAGGCTTCCTGGAAGAGGAGGCATTAATGCTTGGCTTTGAAGAGTGGAGGGGTTTCTAGCAAGCAGAGATGGAATCCTGCAGGGAGGAAGGTGGCCCAGGGGGGTAAGTATAAAAGGCAGCTAGAAGGAGGGTTCTTCTTTCTGTTCTTCCTAAGGACCAGGTTCCTCTGCCACAGGGTCTTTGCACATGCTGTTCCCACTTACTGGAAGGCTTTCCTACCCTGCTCTTCCTTCAGACCTTGGTTTGTTTCATAGACCTTCCTGACTTGGTCAGACACCTCCCTCCCCAGCCCCAGCACCATGGCCTTGAAGTTCCAGTGGTTGAAACTTTAGCCTTAGGTCATCGATCATTTAGTTCCTGCCTGTCTCCCCCACCATCGCCAGGCGGTGGTATGCGATAGGTCTGCTTTTCCTCACCGTGGCTCTCCCGGCACCTAGAGGGGGACGTACGGCCGTGAATGCTCAGGGAACGTTTGCAGAAGGGTTCAGAGAAGCATGGAGTGAGGTGGGGCGTGGAGAACTGCAATAAGGCTGGAAAACAAGGCCGGGGACTCGATTTCCAGACAAATGCGTCCAGTGGTCGGTTTTAAACAGACCCTAAAATTCAATATATAAATATCTAGCTCATTACCTTAAAAGGAAAAAGTATTTCTTTTGGGCAAGTGACGGGCCCTGCTCACAATCCCTTGGCGTTCAGCAGGGCCAGGGCTGTCTTGTGACTTCATAAAGCCATCATGCTGCCTTCGAACCCCACTCCACCCGCCCAGAATGCCTTTTCGCCTCGTATTCTCGGGTCGTGCTCGTGGGCTGGGCTGGAAGGATGAGGACGCCGGACTGGCGGAGGCCACGCTCCGTGCCCAGGCCCACTGTGCTGGGAAGTGGCAGGTCCGGAGTCAGGCCGGCTATCCACTGTGAGCCCTGCCACCCTCCTGCCCCAGCACAAATAAGACAGCTGTGGAGAGGGAAGACGGGCCCTAGGGTGGGCGATCAGAGGAGAACGTCTCCAAGGAGGTGGCATTTAGGCTGAGATCCGAATGATCTGTGGAGCCAGCAGACCTGGGGGGCCGGGGGAGGGGGAGACACATCACTCCAACAACACCCAGGGCTCGTCCTCGAAGAGTCTGTCCAGCGCTCTTGGCTGTCCCTAGAGCTGTGCCACACACAGCCTAAGTCCTTCAAGGATCTCCCCCCGAGCAAGCCCTGAGCCCCCGACCTCTGCCAGGTTCCGGAGGTGGTGGGAAGGGCTGGGAAGGGTCCGGGCTTTGGAAGCAGGCAGCCGAGCCTGGCTTTGAATCAGGCCTGGCTGGGCCCCGGCAGCATGTGGGCTTGGACATGTCACTCAGCTTGTGTCTGATGACATCTTCTACCGGGATCCTTCACTGCCTCCTTGCGGGACTGCTGGGAGGGTTTCAGCTCATGCGCGCCTGTGCCGCTCAGGCTGCCTGGCACAGGTAGGTCCTCAGAACACGGAGATCTGTTCATTCTAATCAAAACCAGCTCACACATGTCGAGTGCCAATACGCGCCAGGCCCTGCTGTCACCCTGTTTTATAGATGAAAGGAAAGCAGGGCATT